TGCCTGCCCCAGGGAGGAGGGGGCCTGCTCTCATTTTCTTGCCTAGGATGCGCAGAGTCATGCTATTTCCTAGAAAAACTCCTCTGGCCAGAGGCTCCTGTACCAGGAGGTGAAGGATGAAAAGGAGTCTGTGACAGGGCCGGTGACTCATGTTCAACCAAAAAGGTTTATGATTCTGCCTGAAACCTCTAATTGAAGAGGCATTTTTTATGTTATTGAGAACCTGTCAACTAAATCACACAGCCAGGGCAGAATAATGTAGTGCAAGGAGGTGCTTTGTTAATTAGTTTACAAACCCCATCAAGATGAGTAAGGAGAGTGTTCGGGTAGTACTTGCCCTCCAGGAAAATTAATGCTTTTGGCATTGGAGAAACTGAGGCAGACACCCTGCAGACTTGCCTACAAATAATCTTGATGCCATCCAGCCCCTTCCAAAAGGAGCACAGTTCAGCTTCTGCAGGTTGCCCTGAACAAAAAAAAATAAAGTATTGTAAAGAGACACAAGTATTTTACTTCAAAATGACTTAACTTGCTTACAGCAGCAACACAGGCTTTCTGTCTGTTCTTCTACATGAGATGCAGAAATATTACTGATAAAGTTTAGGCTGATTCCTTACCCTGGATCCCTGGGCTGGTTCCCTACCCTGGATCTCCTCGGGCCATCACAGGGCTGATGGCAACAAAGCAAAATGACAATGTTCTTAATGGTAACCTTAGTCCATTTAGTCGTACATTGGCTCACTGCAAGACATACATTCCCTGCTCACGGCCCTTTGGCAGCTTTGTACACCGTACAATCTAGGTGTACCAAACACTGCGGCTGGAAGGAAAAAATAAGGCATGGTAGTGTAACAACAGAAAGCCACGATTTTCCCAGCCTGTACAGAAACCAGCACGGCTGGTTGGGTCAGGGGGACAACAATAGTCTTCATTACATCTTCTTATTTTCCCGTTTCAGTGCTGCCATAATCACAGTACAGGTCCTTCGGCTACTTTTTATAATGTATATAAAAATCTTCCCCCCAGTAAGAAATTCAGTTTGCATATGACTGCAAGTTCTGCATTCAAGTGCTTGGCTAAGTCGCCGTGATAGTACGTGCTCACAACAGCTGCGTCTGCTGGAGGCAGCTGCAATCAGGTTTGCTTTTCCTGGTCCCCAACACCCTCCCACCCCCCAAATCCCACAGTCATTCAGTGCACTCAAGTAGTACCTAAAGTGCTTAGAATGCTAAATTGATTAAAACATCATTTTAATCAATCAAACATTATTTTTAAACTTAATTATCTTTTAATATTTCTTACTTTATAAAACTAAATGTGTTTTAAAAAAATACTATTTTCCAGTTCAGAAAAACATTGCAGCACAGAGTAAGCATAGTCTTTACATTTTCCCTATTTCTCCAGCAATTCTGTATGTGTCTTGAAGCGCAGAGTATCTATATGGTCATCGCTCCCTGTTTACATTCAGTAACCAACTAAACATCATGAGTCAATATTAAATATGAGTTGTGCTTTACTTTGCAGGCATTTTTTAAAAAAAAATCAGTTTCAGCTATTAGTGCAACAGTATCATCATTATTCTGCCCACCTTGGAGAAAAAACACACAAGAAAATTTGCTAATTTGGGTAAAAATTAAAAAAAAAAATTAGGTAGTTCCTCTGCCTTTCATTGACCTTGGTCATGCACTGAGGCAAAGGTGTGGGGGGGGAAATGGAGAAAAATAGCTAGACCCCAAAACTGATGTGCACAGATTTTTTCTGCCTTGTGCAAACCTGGTTACCGGCAGCAGGTTAGCAGGGGCGAGGCCTATCCAGGGACGAGGCCTCATCTCTGTGCCTACAAGATTTCAACACTAGTGCCAAGGCTCCCGGGCTGGGGAGGTTACAAGAGATCCTGCGGTTTAATAACAAGGTATTACAGCTTTCGACGCGTGCTTAGTACTACCCCTTCGGCCAGGCGGCGTCACCTCCCGTTTCTAATTCCGGCTCTCGCGTAGGACATAGGAGAGGCCGTGTTTCCCCGAGGAGTCGTAACTGTCATGGTAGGGGAGCCCGACCCACTCGGGCGGGTACGTCATCGTGCTGTACACGAAGCACTCCACAACGCCCTCGGCCGCTGCCCGCGCCTCGCCCGCGCCGCCCTTCCCTTCCCACTCCACCACCTCGATTTGCATCACGGTGCGCTGGTACATGTCTGGGCAGCCTTCAAACTCATCCAGGAACCGCAGCATCTGGTCGTCAACCGAGTAAATCTCCCCTGCAACGTGGTGTCCTGTCCCCGGGATGTTCAGCATGTAGGGAATGTTGTATTTGCCAGCGATCACCAGTGGGTACTTCTCCACCGTGCGGCCCCTTCCTTGGAATTTCGCTAAGCCCTTGGCCGTGTTGATCATGTGCTTGTAGTTGGGCTGGCCCTTCTTCAGCGTGCCGTAGACGAAGACACGGGCCATCATACCTGCAAAAGCAGCTGAAAGACAAAGGCGAATGTTACCCACATGGCTGCTTTGGCCAATGCTCAGGAGAACTGCAGCCACACCAAGATGTGTTGTACATATGCGAAAGTGGTCTCGTAGCTCTACACCTTGTTTAAATATCATACAAAATTCAAGTATCTGTTTAAACTTTTCAGTCAAAAACTGTAACAGTGACAAACAGACACCAGGAGAAAGTCAGCCTTGCATTTCTTTGCTGTAATCACATTACATCCCATGGTTTCTCTAAGGAAGCCTCAACGTCAGCCAACGCATCCTTGAGCATCAGGAAAAGCTCCAAACCTCTATTTTTTTTTCCCCTTCTCACCATTATAATAACTGTGTTGCATTAAGTTTGATGTCATGCACAGTAACACCCCAAACGCAACCCAGGGAGCCAGTCCCATGCCATGGTTCAGCTCAACTATGTAGACACCTTGCTGTGCTCCTCCACTGCAGTTATGGTTTGAGTAACCCAGGTCAAGCCCGAGTATTGAAACTCACAGGAGTGAAGCCACAGTGAGTTCATTTTCCCTTGTTGGGGTGGGGTGGCTGTTTTTTAAAGCCTGAACTGATGGACTTGGTCAGACACTACCCGGGACACCCGGCATTGCCACCTCCCAGTGTGGTCCAGCGCGCCCAGGGGAAGCGAGTGCCTCGCTCCCTTCTCCTGCTCAGGCTCTCTGTTCACCAGGGCCATTCTTGGTATTTGAGAAACAACATTTTATTCAGTGACAGAAGAGCCTGGTGGCAGTTCAGGAGTTTGAGTATCTCTGTGTTTCATGGTAAGGCAAAGCACAGAGGCATTATCTGAAAGCAAATTAACGAGTTCAAACTTCTGGTCCTGTTGCGATGCAGCTGCACGCATTCAATGGTATTTTTTCCAAAAACAGTCTTAGTAAAGGGGGAGAGAAAAACAAGCAGCACGATGCTTGTGGCTGCAGTAAGCTGACTATGGACTAACTGGGACATCAGCGAGCCGAACAGAGGACCTGTCTGTCACCAAGAGGGATGAAAAGGCTTTGGTGTCAGCCCTTACAAGCACAATGAGGCACGCCGGCGCGGCAGCAAGTTCAGCCTGGCGCTGAGTCATTTCACAGACGCACTGAAGGATTTTTGGTAACCTCAGTGCCGAGGTCCCACTTGCTGACTGACTGAGGAATGCTGAAGAGCACGCAGCGGCTCCGGGGAGAGAAACGGGGTGGCCTGCGGTCACCAAATCCCAAGTGAGTGGGTGCTCTCTGAAAGGCCACGTCTTGTCTTGCTCCTTCAGGGGAGGGGACTGACCTGAAGTAGCCAATTGGCACATGCGCCAGCCCTGCCTTGAAAACAGACCCCGAAC